CACACAGCGGACACACCATAATCTATCCGGAAAGCATCGACCGATGCTTGCTCAGTGGCTGTTTGTTTGACATTTTGGGGTTTTGGTAAGTTCAATTATAAAAACCTTTTAAGCGCTCTGTAACAACTAAAGAAGAGAAAGCAAAAGCAGGTGTGTTCCTTATTGAGTCTTGTAAGCAAACATTACTAAACGTGTCGCAGTGTTGACTGGCTAGCGGCTAGCCTACTGCTAGTCAACACTGCTAGGCTAGCCATTAGCCTAGCAGTGTGCAACAGGAATATAACTTAAGTACAATTTTACTCACATACTGTTGGCTACTTACGGTATTTACACATGTGAGGTACTTCTACTTCTAGTAGTTACTACTAGCTACTAGGATGGATGTATAAGACATAATTTAAATCAAAAAAAGAAAAAACTTGATATGGGCCATAACTGGAAAATGTGTACTTTTTGTGCTTGAAGTATATTTTGATGCCAATACTTTTGTACTTTACTTGGGTACACATTTGAATGCAGAACTGTTACTTGTAACATAGTATTTTTACAGTGTAGTATTGCTACTTTTACAGATCTGAGTACTTGTTACAACTCACATAGCCCATACAACGTCATGAATTATATAGGAAATGTAGAAACAATATAGAAATGCAGAAACAATGTGTCTGCTCAATATTCTACACAGTAATTGATGACATTAATGTTGATTGAATTCAACACAGTACTGACAAACATCAATTACTGTAGTATTGATTGCTTTTGATATTATACACCCCAATGTGCATGATGAAGGCTATGGCCATCTTACATGTGGCCTTTTTGTTGTGCTTTTATTGAATTGGACCACAATAAACTCCATGTTAATATGAAGACACTAAATTGACCTCATGTGTACTGTAAGTAATTTGCATTAATACAATGTATTTGCCTTTTCCTAAAGAAAGAAGATCACCTTATATTTGCCATTGTTACATTTGTGCTCGACACATTACAAAATGGGTCCGAAGAAGTTGAAGCCGGCAAAAAAGGGAGTGGGACCAATGGGCGGATTTTTAACGGTACTAATTTTCTCGTGTTAATTGAAATGTACATTATTTTCTTTATAATATAATATATATTATATTTCTTTATAATCAAACATTTGAATACAGGATTTTGAGATGTTAGATTACTGATTTATATGGGTTACTAAGTTTAATTTAGCTTTGTGTCTTTTCTTTAAAAAAAAATCTTTATTCTACTAATTCAATATTAGTACAGAGAATTAACGAAACCGACAAACAGAATTTGTAGAAGCGGGAGAGATCTCTTGTGAAGTATACAACACTTAATACTTTACAATGAATAACTTTTCGGTCTGTGATCTCTAGAAAAAACCAGCAAACCAGAATGGGAGACGCAGCGAGCCTTCCGATTTACAACCTGTTGCTGAGGTTTGTCATATTTTATTCTGTATCTTTGTTGGCCTTTAAAAGTCATATAGATAGTAAGACAACTATTGTTCTTGTCTCACACGTCTTGCATTTTAATTCAACTTTTGACACCCAAATTCTTTGTAACAGCAGTTCATTTGATATACAGTGTTTCCCCTACCATTGTCTTGGCGGGGCGCTGCGCCCTAGGCAAAGCTTAGGCAAAGCTCGAGAGAAACTAGGCAAAGCTCGAGAGCCGCGGGTTGGCCACCCCTGCCTTAGAACATGCTACTGATAACATTTTTGTCCATTATCTCAATAAAGACAGACAACCAGAATGGGAGACGCAGTCTACCTCCTAATTTACA